CATAACTATGGTTGAGAAGGGCTTTGCTCGAGTACTAACCCACTCATCACACTCTTCACAAAAGTACACCAGCAGGAAAAGCTAGTTGACCAGTGAGGCTATTTAACGACCACTGGAAATAAAGTGCAATCAGAGGTCAAGACAAAGCATACATTTTTAGCTTATGTCTTTCCCAAAGAAGACTTTAGATATCTAAAAAAGATAAAGATATCTAAAGATAAAGACTTTAGATGTCTCCATGTCACCCACCGGGAACTTCCAGAAGGATAAGATCCAATAGGAATAAAAATGCAGGATATTTTGAAGCCAGTTTTCAGATTAGATGGAGGAAGCACCTTTGGCAATATTCAGGTGACGCCTGTGGGAAGAGTGGAAGAGTGCAGTCACACGTCACCAGAAGTGTTTAATCTGTTCCTCTGTTAGGAGTACACACAGTTAGAGCTTCGGTTTGGTACTAGGGCTGAACCTCTGCAAATAGTGGGACATGTCAGACCCCGAAGCAGACATCCCCCACCCCTTGGACACAAGCTGGGACTTCCTGGAATGTGACTGCCAGGCAGTCAAGGTCGGAAGCCACCTGTGTCATCTTGGGCAAATGACTGAAGCACTCTGTGCCTCTGTGTCCTCCTCTGTAAGATGGAGATGATGAGAGGCCATTGGAGACCACTCAAGGAGTAAAGCAACTCAAATAATGCTTGGCCCAGAAGAAGTGATTGGTGGTCATGCACTGGAAACAGTTCTGTTATTTTTGGTCCTCAAGGGAAGACAAAAATGGAGCCAAGGAAGGCAGGAAATGATCCTAGAAAGGTCCAGGAGGACGGGAGCAACCAAACCAGGGTTGGCAAGGGTCCTACAAATAAATCATGTCTACAGCACACCTGCTGAGTGGTCATCCTGTGCTGTGAGAGCCAGCCAAGCCCAGTGTGAACCTTCAGTCAGGGAGAACAAGGTTTGGAGGAGGTGGGGCTGTGGTCCAGAACAACCCGGAAGGGACAGATGGAGAACACACCACTGTGGACTACCCACTGGGCACGAGAACTAGGAGGCGGCCTTCAAAGACGTTCTCTGACGCTTGAGACGTGGGGATTTGGACAGTAGGAAAATAAGATAGTACAGCATTCAGAAGGTGAAAAGGGATTTCAGGAAATTTGAGATTCAATTATGAAAGTCAGAGCTAACCTGACTTTGGAACTTGCGGATTTTGGCATGGATATCTAAAATCAAGAGGAGATGAAGGCCTTCAGGCTTCATGCCTCATGCCTCTATCACGGACGAAACAAAAATGGTTTTACTCAAGTCAACTAAGTGCCACGTGATTCAGTACAGCTCTTCAAACCCAACAAGTAGTTGCCGCAATCTGTGGGAGGCAAATGTGCTGGACTCTCCACAACACACGGTGGGCAACCCCACATCACACTCTCAAGAGCTTCCATCCTCACCTCTGTCCTGTAGGCAGAGGTAAGACAAACTCCAGTAAAAGACTGAGTGCCATCCATGTTGTTTTTGAAAAGGAGAGACCAGCAAAGCACTTTGGGGATGAAAAATCGTGCTCCTGGGAGTGTCAGGGTGGGGGCAATCAGGGTGGGCCAGCAAAAGCAGACTCAGGAAGGCTCGTCTAGTTTCCCTGGAGTGGGTGTTACAGGAGTGGGGGAAAACGAGACCCAGCAGATGGCTTGGAAGTGACAAGGGTCTGGGGCACCAGGGGCTGGAAGAGCTGGAAGACATGCAGGCAGCCGTGCTTGAAGTGCCTGAGGGTGAAGGGGATGTGGGGCCTGATGGGGGGTGTGCTGGCCCCTGGGAAGAAGCGGGAGGGGGAGCTGTTGACAGTTGCTTGCATATTTCAGGGTCTGGGGTGGGGCTGGGAGGGCTGTCTGGGGTCAGGCTGCGGGTCTGAGGTCATAGGGGGCTCCGTGATGGGGAGTGACTGCCCTCCTCTATCCCGCAGATCGAGGCCTGGGAACAGGAGCAGCTGAGCCAGCCTGTCTGTTTTGACTACTGCTGCATCGACCAATCCCCCTTCCAGCTGGTGGAGCAGACGTCCCTGCACAAGGCAAGTGCTTGCCCTCAGACTGCTCCGGGCCGCAGAGGGCAGGGGAGGCCCCGGGCGGACGGACGCGCGCTGACCCGCTGCTCTTTCCCCGCAGACCCACACGCTCTTCTCGCTCCTTGGCCTCCACCTTGCCTATGTGACCAGCATGGGGAAGCTCAGAGGTGTGCTGGCATTGGAGGAGGTAAAGGTGGCATGTCCCCTTTGAGCAGCACAGGATAAGTGAGGGTGTGGGGAGGGGATGGTTTAACATCTGGGTGGTCCCCCACGTTTCCCTCTCTGTTTGTCATATGGAGACAGGATGCAGGGTGGGGGGGAGCAGGTGGCGGGTGGAGGGGGCTGCCCCCACCATCTTCCACAGAATGGGGGCTTGGGAGGAGGGTTCAGGGCAAGAGTCACGGGTTCCTGTGTGTGCTCGGGCAACGGCGGTGAAAAAGAGGGCAGAGATGGGACATGGCTGAAGGACGCCTGAAGTCATGAAGGAAGGGGCCTTGTCAGAGGAGCTTGAGATTCCCGGCTCCGCAGGTGGGCCTGGCCCCCAGGCCTCTTTACTTGCCACTCCACATCCTTCCTTCCGATGCTCCTTGTGCGAATCTGCTCTTCTCTCCTGCCTGCTTCCTCTCACACCCATCTTCTTTCTCTTCCCGCTTTTATCCCCTCCCTCTCCCCACCAGCTGCAGAAGGCCATCGAGGGGCACACCAAGTCTGGGGTGCAGCTCCGCCCTCCCCTGGCCAGCTTCCGGAGCACGACTTCCACTCGGAAGAACCCAGGAGGCCCACCCCCTCCCACTGAGGCCTGGAGCCTGCCTGAGGATGGAACTGGGGCTCCTGCCTCCCCAGAGTCCCCCGCACCCTCCCCCTCCCCAGCGCCCTTGCTCTCTGAGGCTCCAGCCAAAGTGGAGGGTGAGCTGGAGGAGCTGGAGCTGGGAGAGAGTCCGGGGCTGGAGGAGGAGCTCGCTGACATCCTGCAGGGCCCGAGTCTGCGATCCACGGATGAGGAGGACGAGGACGAGCTGATTCTTTGACGGCCTCCAGGATCTCCTCTTAAAGACCGTCCCGGGGCCCAGGCCAGAGGCTGGACTTGTGTGTCGGGGGTATGTCCTGAAGTTGGAGACCTCACACCATCGTCCTGGCCCCTTCTGGGAATCTTAAAATGTGATAGTGATAGTCCGCTATTTAGGCCCTGTGCGACAGGCAGGAGGTTCTGGCCCCAGTGAAGGACCTGATACTCCACAGGGCTTCCCGAGTCTCCCTGGTATGTGAATGGGAGACACCCTGCCTCTGCCTGCCTCCCCTCAGCCCCCACAGTCCCCTGGTCTTCTTGTTCCGGCACCTTCCTAGCACCTTCCTGGCTTTGCCCCGTGTCCGCCAGTCTCCACGGGGGGAGGCCCACAGTGACTGTGGCCTGGGGGGAGATGGGAGAACCTCATGGCCTCGTGGGCTGATGGCCCAGGATACACTCAGGAATAATCCACACGCCACTCTCAGAGCCCCCAACCCTGTTCTCCCACTTACAGCCGCTCCCTGATATTTGCCTCCTCCTCCTCCATCCTGGCTCCCACTACCTGCCGCCAGGCAAGGGCCAGTCCCCTAGCTCCCCTGGCCGGGATATAGGCAGCCCGCAAGAGAAAAGGTCTCTGTGCAGGAAGCAGGTGTCTTGCTGCCCAGCATTCATGCCTCCTTCAGGCACAAATCCGCCCCATCTCACACCAGGCATGGCTTCCTCGCCCTCCAGGTCCCAGGGCACTCCTGGGAACTAACCCTCACCTCCCCACGGTCCTCCCCGATCTATCCTGCCCAAGGGTCAGCTGTGCCCTCCAGCTGCTGGGGCCGGGGCTTCTCCCACCAAGACCGAGCCTCAGGGCAGCCAGGCTACTGGGTCTCTCAGCCACCAGCCCTACTGAGACTAGTTCTTTGTGTTCGTCTTCTAGAGGTGGACAGATGGGGGTTCAATGCCAACATGGCAGGCCCCTTTGATGCTTCCCATGCTCGGAAGTCAGAGGCCCTCCTCCCCAAATCAGCGACAGGGTGCCTGCCGCTGGCCTGCCTTTCCTATGAGGTGGTCCCAGGTGCTCTGAGCCCCCAGAAGCCCTCATTTCCACATCCACGGCTCCCCTGCTCCCTCCTTTTGTGCCCCGTCCAGTTGTGTAGTTTTACCCCCTGTCTGACATCCTCCTGCCTCCCCTCCCCTGTGCCCAGGCTCCATCATCCCCCAAATAAGACACTCATAGTCAGAGGTGCCACCACATTCTGTTTAGTACCATTGAACACAGCCTGTCGCCCTCCAACATGACATCCCTTCCACCTCCCCAGGCCGAGAGAGAGAGAGAGAGAGAGAGAGAGAGAGAGAGAGAGAGAGAGAGAGAGCAGCCTGGAGAGGGGGACTGGCAGTGGGCATTTGAGCCCGTGCCCATGTGTATATAATCTATAATATTTATATATATATATATTTATATATAATTCTCTCTGTAATATATGTCATAGAATCTCTCTTGGGCCTGGGGTGGGAATGTCACATTAAGAAAACATGCTAAGACTGGCCATAAAAATGGATATTTCCCAGACCTGGAAGACAGAGTATGGGACGTAGAGGTGAGGGCAAAGAGAAGGTCATACGCTCATTCACCAAGAGCCCCTCCCAAGCACAAGGGTAAGAAGGGAGGCGTGGGGGGAGGAGGGCCAGTGGAAGGGGAGGAATGGGAAATTTGGATTTTTCTTTAATAAAGTGATTTGAAAACGAAAGTGCATCCCCCCTCCCCCCGCCCCCCCCAACCAAAGGAAAATCATTTAGCAAGAGCAGTTTCATTCACAAGAATATAAAAACAGCCCTGTTTCGGGACTGTTGAAAAACGTGCTGCACAGCCTTTAACCCCAAAGGAAAAGCGACCCTCCCCCACCCCCCAGCCTCTTCCTGCACATGCCCCTCCCCTCCCCCTAGAATAGGCTATAAGCAAACCCCATGCACCCTGCCCCCAGCACCAGAGAGGCAGTTCCTCCCCGCAGAAGAGTCCTAAGAGGGTCCCAGGCCAGCTCCTCGGCTCTTCTCCCTCTTCAGAGCAGAAAACGCAGGCCCCACCTGACGTGAGGTCGGCGAGCCCCCTCCACGTGTAAAGTCGGCTAGACTCCCTCACAGCTTCAGCCACTGCTGCAGGGACCATTTGGCTTCCTCGGGGAAGGGAGGGAGGGGGCAAGAACGCTGCTTTGGTCCACCTTTCTCAACTCCACAGGCCCTGAGCAAAAAGGAACTGTAATGAATGAACCTGCTGGATTGGACGTCCGCCGTGGTCTGGGGGCAGAACGTAGGCACGGAGGGGATGAGACGCAGAGAAAGAAGATGGTACACTGAGACAGCAGGTGGCACAGGGCGAAGGAACGGGGACCCGTGGCAAGAGGGGACCATGAGCATGCAAAACCCAGAGGACCCACGGCAGGAGGGCCAGCAGCCAGTGAGGGCACGGCAGGCGGCCAGGCCACGGCCCTAGGGCACCCCCCGCCCGGCCACCTCCCCACCCCACCCCAGCTGCTAGCTGCCAGGTCCTGCAGCCTCCTGAACCCCATCACGTGACCAAACACAAAGCGAGGTCTTCCGTTGAGACAGCTGTGGACAAGGTGACTTGACCTCCCCACACGCACCATGCCCACTCCTGGGTCCTCCAAAGTCCCACCCCAGGAAAGCCCTTGTCCCCCTCCCCTGGGGGACACGGGCCCCTGGCCTCGGCTGCATTGTAGGAGCACGTGGGGATGAAAGTGTGAAGTCTTTGAGGTTGGGGGCATAGGGGGACAGTAACTCCCCACCTCTCAACCTCCTCATTCCCGGGAAACAGAAGTCTGGTGGGGTGGGGAGGGGACAGTTCTGCCCAGGGTCTGGGAAGGGGTGACAGGTGCTCCCCTCCTGGCAGAGGGTAAAGTGGCAGGACCCCTGACGAAGCGTGGGCAGGACACAAGGCCTTGGAGCTGGAGCCTTAGTTAGGCACGAGGAAAGAGGGAAGGCGACGATGCAGCTCTCAGCTTCTCTCCTACCCAGTCTCCCTGTGCCACCGCAGCGGGGCGGGGCAGTGTGCCAGCCAGCTCCACAGCTGTGGCGTCCTGGCTCTCCCCGGCCCTGCTGTCAGGATCTCTCAGAAGTGCCGCGGCGGCCCTCAGCACAGCGGAGCAGAGCGGAGCGGAGCCGGAGCCAGGTGTGGGAGGACGAGCCAATTCAGGGGCCTGTGCCTCACTGTCACCCGGCCTGGAAGGAAGGATCCTCGACTCTCCTCTTTCCCCACAGCAGGCCCGGGAGGGAGGGGACACCTGCGGGGGGGCCCTTTTTGGAGTCCTGGGAGGAGCTGAAGAAGGGGCAAAGGAGCCGCGCACCCACACCGCTCCTCAGCGAACAGCCCCCCCCTGGCCGGGGCCTGACAGCACCGGACTCCTCCCTCCACCCCACTCAACCCTGAGTCCCCAAGAAGTTATAAAAATGTAGAAAAGGCAAAGAGAAAAGTGTAAACAGCTCCAGAGAATTAGAGGGTGGATGGAGGGAGACACAGCCCTCATGCTTCCCCTTTTGGCCAGGACACATGCATCCTGTGTCACCCCCTCGGGGCAGGAGACGAAGGCAGAAGAGGGGAGCAAGAGCTGGAGCAGCGAGCCCCGAGCCCCGGCTGGGCCTTCCCAGGACCCTCGGATCCCCCTTCCAGCTACGGGAAGCGCGATCCTGGAACAGCGGCCGTTCTGGTTGTCCTCAGTGACCTTCTGGTGTCCTCAGTGACCTTCTGGTCTCGGGGCAGGCCTTGACAGGAAGACTCACGGCTGCGTCCTTGGGCGTCCCAGCTGCCACGTCCACCTCCCCCATGACTCCTGATGTCAGAAGCCGATTTTTCGCTGAGGGCAGACTCTCCGCCCTCTAAGGACACGCGACGTGAGGTGGCTCCCCTGTGCCCGTCGAGCCGTACCAACAGCCCCCGAGGTCTGTTCCTCAGAGCCGGGATGAGCTGGGGCCACGGCCGGAGAAAACACGGAGTCGGGAAAAGCAGGAGAAACGCGGAGAAAGGCGGCCTTCCCGCAGCCACGGCCGAGGCTCCCGGAGACGAGTCAGAGTGCAGAGCCGGGGTCCAGTCGACGGCCACAGCTGCTCCGGCTCCCGGCTCCCGCGCGTCCTGGGAGCCCCGCCGCGCTCCACCAGCGCGGGCCCAGAGGCCGGCGCCTAAGCCCGCGCACAGCCATCTGCTGGCCTGGGCCTTGGTTCCCGGCCCGTGCTTCCTGCAGCACAAGCCTGGATAAAATCCCACAGGCCCCCGTTCTCCTGGTGAGGACTGGCAGCTCCTGGGTCCCTCGCGGTCTTCTGCCCGGGTCTCAGCTGTACTGCTGGGGGAGGGAGGGTGTTGTTGCAGCCATGCCCCTCAGGTGGGAGTGGAAGGCTGGGTGCCGAGTGGGAGGAAGCTAGTTGTTAGCCTCACCCTCCTCCTCATCAAAGGATTGCACACCTGAGGATGTGACATCAGACACCTTCCTGCTGAGAACAGTCGACATCTCAGGGTCTTCTCGTGGGGAAAGGGACTCCAGGTCCCGGCATCCTGCGTCCTCTTCCTCCTCAGGGGCCAACGGCCTCTTCTCCTCCTCAGCAGGGCCCCTTGCCAGGTCCACTCCACCCACCCCCGGAGCCCAGTCAGTGTCTGACCCCAGCAAAGGTGGAGGCTCCTGTGCAGAGTATCCGGAAGCAAGTTGGGAAGGCCCCATTTCGTGCAAGCTAGGCTGTGAGTCATCAAATGCAGGACCAAGATAGGATCCTGTAGCCGGAGAGGCAATGAGGGACTGGTCGCTGGCTTCCCAGGCATCCGATGACCCCAGACAGTACATGCCCTGGGACACGTAAGAGTGAGGCCATCCGTCCATGGGCGCTTGAGCAAGGGCATCTGTAAAGAGAATCACAGAAGTCAGCGGGGTTACAGAGCATGAAAGGCGGCAGCAACAGTGCAGACAACGGAGTAGGCGGGGGGCGAGCGTAGGAAAGCTGAGACGGACAGAGTCGTAGAAGAACACACAGGAATGGAAGTAGCCCAGTTAAGCTGGGGAGGCCTCTTGGGCCTCAGAGGGGCCATCCCTCACCTTGACTCTCCATCAGCTCCTGGTAGTTGTCACTGTAGTTGCAGCCCAGGGGCTCCTGGGCCGAGTTGACACTCATGTCCTCACCATCCATAGAAGACCAGGCCATGAGTGTGGCCTCGGAGATGGCAAACTGTTCCATGACACCTACGAGAAGAAATGTAGTTGGTACAAGATACCCCTGGGAACCCTTAGACACGTGCACGGTGGAGGGCGACATCGGGGCAGCGCTGTTCAATAGAAAGACCATGCAAGCCACTTGTGCAATTTAAATTTTCTTGTAGCCATAGTACAGAAAATTTAAAAGAAACAAGTGAAACTAATTTTTATAAATATCTTATTTAACCCTATATATATATATATATTAGATGATCTTTCAACATGTAATCCATGTGACAATTATTAATGAGATGTTTCACATTATTTTATTCGTACGAGTCTTTGAAATCCAGTTGGTATTTCATACTGAATCTCCATTGAGATGAGCCACATTTCAAGTTCTCAGATGCCACGTGTGGCCAGTGGCTAGTATATCTATGGGACAGCGCGCACTTCGCATACACCCCCAAACAAGGCAAAACAGTGTGGGACAGTCCAGAAGGTCAGATCAAGGATTCTTAGCAGATAGAGTTGAGGGGTCTTCTGGTGAGCTATCCAAAGGGCCTGAAATGAGGAATTTCCAGGAGTTGATCTCCAGAAGCTCGTAAGAATGTTAGCTAATACTAGGTAGTCAACGGCAGAGGAATCTAAATGAGAGGGCTCAGTTTCAACAGAGAATCCCCCAGGGAACACCACGGGCTTGTAGGTCCACAGTGGTATCAAGATGAAAGTTCTAGGAATTGGAAAGGAGAAGGAAGGGAGGATAGACTAGGGAGCCTGGGTAGACTTAGGGGTCCCCATTCTAGTCAAAGCCGGACGTTGAAGCTTCCATTGCCAGCTGCCCTGAACTACCCCCTACGCACTACATGTTTGTCTCCCCTCCCCACTGATCCTCCACCATCCACACCACCAACACAGAGATACCTCTCTTCTCTTCTAGATCTATCTATCATTCTTCCCAGGCCTCTTATTGAGACCTGCAATAGGGGCTTGGTCGCCATGGTAGGTGCGCTGTATGCCTGTCTCCTAGCAACTCCACTGTCCTCTTCTGTATAACACGCTCTCCTTACCCAGACCCCCCGATCTTCTCGTGGTTGGTTGTCACAAGTAATGAGCCACGTAAGTGAATGAATCCACTACAGCAATGTGCTGAGGGGCAAGGTCTAGAAGGGATTTCCCTAGTGCCTCTTCTTTTTCCTCAAGAGACATGGATACAAGGAGGGACTTTCAGTGTCCAAGGCCCCTGACTTTTTGTCCTATACCGATGTGGGAGAGAAGACACCTGGAACAGGTGGACCTCCAGTCCCATGTAATTCTCCTTAGTTTCTGACATGATAATAAAAATAAGTTGGAGGCCACTTACCCGGATCAATCAAAGTTCTTGATATCAGAGCTGATTGCAAAATTAAGTCTTATGGTCATCATATGCCTAGAGCCAATCCTGCCACAGGGGATCAGGCTGGAAGGTCAGTCTCTGACCATCCCGAAAACGTGTCTCTGGAGGGTCCCCGGAATAAGTACCTGCCAGGAAACGTGCCTCCTTCTCGCCATCGCTGAGGTCGGAGTAGGCGTCCGTATCTCTGCGCACCGCCTCATGGCTGTGTTGCGGCTGAATGGCTGGTGCCTTCCCCCAGCCCTGCCACTCAATCATGTGGGCCACCCGGCCTTGACCCATGGCTGTGGGCTTCGTCACATGGTCCTTCATGCTGCGAGAAATCCCTGAGGGGCCAGACATTCCCCTCCAGAACACCACACGATACCCATACAAGATCCACCCCAGGTCCCCACCCATGACCCACGGGAACTCCATTCAGTGGAGAAGCTCCATAGGAGGGGTAGACTGGACAGGAGGGCTTTCCAGAAAGGGTAAATAGGTCAGGGATGGGGGTCTTCTTTAGGCCTCAAGGAGCAAGGAGACTGAGACCAGGAGGGGGTCGGTATTCTCCTGTCTGGATGCATCCCCAGGTAGGGAGTCTCACCTGAGAAGGATGACTTGGCCAGGGCCCCGATGCCATAGGCGTTAGAGTTTCTCTTAAGCTTCGGAAGAATAGAAGTGGTGTCCTCCATGGAGAGCTGGAAGAGGGACGGTGGGAGGAGGGGCAGAGGGGAATTCAGGGTTTCTGGGAGGAAGGGACTGAGCGAGGGCAGGTGAAAGGGAACCCTTACACCAAGGAGACCCAAGGACGCTTATCCCCCAACTACCCTTGAAAATATGGGGGATCGGTAGGGAATGTGAGGGCTCGGGGAGCACTGCATTCTGTGGCAGATCTAAGGGAGGATGTGAGAGGAGCTAGGATGCACTGGGGTGGGGGGTGCTGGGGGAAGCTGCACTCACATTGATGCCATCCCAGGAGAAATCAGTTCGGGTTTGCTGTGAGGAGAGAGCAAAGGGAGTGGGGATCCCAGAGACTCCCAGGACTGCAAGTAGCCCCCACCCCACCCCCATCCCAGGGACTTCCAGAAGTGTCTGAAGTAGAGAGGTTTTTCCTCGGCTTAATTAAGGGGATTAGGATCTCATTGTGGAACATGTGGCCGTGTTTTGAGGAAAGTAGGAGAAATGTTCTGTAAAAGCATCCACTCTGAAGGGGTGTTTGGGCTGTTCTCTTGAAATTTAAGAAAATAATTCAAGGATCAGGCAAACTGGGAGACTTTGTTCACCTTGGTTTCTGTTTTTTGTTTGTTTATTTGTTTTTTTAAAGTCCTTTGGTTAGGGGCTCCTGGGTGGCCCAGTTGGTTAAGCGTCTGCCTTCAGCTCAGGTCATGATCTCGGGGTCCTGGGATAGAGCCCCACATAGAGCTCCCTGCTCAATGAAGAGTCTGCTTCTCCCTCTCCCTCTGCCCTGCCCCTTGCTCACTCTCTCTCTCTCAAATAAATAAATAAAATATTAAAAAAATAAAAGTCCCTAGGGCGCCTGAGTGGCTCAGTCGGTTAAGTGTCTGCCTTTGGCTCAGGTCGTGATCCTGGGGTCCTGGGATGGAGTCCTGCATCGAGTCCCACATCAGGCTCCCTGCTCCATGGGGAGCCTGCTTCTCCCTCTCCCTCAGCTCCTCCCCCTGCTTGTGCTCATGCTTGCTTGCTCTCTGCCTCTCTGTCAAATAAATAAATAAAATCTTTTTAAAAATAAAATAAAAGTCCTTTGGTTATGGGGCCGCTGGGCATGGGGCCTCACCTCGGTGGAGGGCCGGTGGAGGCTGCTCCCATGCAGCGAGCTGGTGCTGTCCATGGGGATCTGGTCGACATCCTTCAGGCCCTTCCAGTCCACTGCAATCACCTCATTCCCTGAAGTGGCCACAGGGTCATTAGCTGCTCTACCATCAGCACCCCCCATCTCCCTACCCCCGCAAAAGGCCCCTCCAGGCCTCAGAGGGCAGCCCCTTCAGCCACCACTCCTTCTGATAGCACATTTCCCTTTACATCCCTACTCTCCCCCAGGTTTTGGTAGGACAAACCGTTATGCTGAGCCAAAATATTCCCTTTGAGCTCAACCAAGAATAGCACATTCACAGAAAGTGTTATATGGCCTTATTTGTTGTTATTTAAGTGGAGGGGTCAGTGGTTGGGTTTTACCCGGAAAACAGTTCTTTATTCTGCCCTGAGGAATCTCTGAGGGTTCCTGTATGGGAGTATAGGGCAGCTGTGCCTTTCATCCATGATGTTTCTAGAAAGAAGGGCAGAACTTCTTTCCATATAGGTAAGCTTCCCTATATGTGGGCTTTATGATTCGTATCTTGGAGCTGGTGCATCTGTGTGATGGTGGGGTTAGAGGCAGGACTGGGGCATGTTCACCCAGAAACGGTGAGAGGAGAGAAAGCAAAGAATGAGATGCCATCATTTTCCCTGACTGCTGGGGGACCAGTGATGGATGGAAGGGGAGCCAAGGGGGACGGGGGACCGGGGGGGGGGGGGGGTGGAGTGGTAAGAGAAGGGGAATTTTTAAACTAGGAACTAAAAGAGCAGGCATTCAAGTCATGCCTGGAGAGCTGGGGGCTGGAGGACCATGGTAATTGTTCGGGTGAAGCCAGAGCCTGGGGCCCAGGCAGCTGCTGGCAAGAGGGCAGGGTGGTGCCTCTCCTGGGAGGTCGGGAAGAGCCATGCTGGGAAGACACTCAAGCATCAGATGGCTCTGGAACCATCTGACCTTACAGATCTCCCCTGCACGCAGAGTTTTGTGATTCTGAATTTCGGGCCGGGGCCGCTCTTGAGAAGGGGTGAAGTGTGGGGGTTTCAAGCATGGGGAGGCACGCAGCTCTCATCCACACCGCCAAGGCAAAGGGACTGTGATTAGTGGGTGTGAAGGAGGTAGGGCCCCTCCTCAGTGAGCCCCTCTCCCTCGGGGCTGCAGGGGAGTGATGAGGGGGACAGAGCAGGGGCCATGGCTGGCGGGGAAGAGGACCTAGGGACCCCTGGGCCTAGCCGGAGAGAGCAGGAAGGGGGCAGACAGGGGAAGGGAGGGATGAGGGGGGCCGGCAGGAGCGAGGGGAGGGCGAGGTGGCCTTTGCAGGGGAGGCAGAGCTGAGTCAGAGCCCCCAGGGGCGGGCAGGGGGAGAGAGAACCCCAGGAAGAGGTGAAGGCAGAGAGGGGAGCATCCATGGAAATAAATCGGGTCTCCGAGAATCAGGCTTCCGGAGAGGGAGTTTGTTTGTAATAATAATAATAATAATAATAATAATACGAATTATTCTGTCAGCCTGAGGTCACTGGGTCGTGTAGGCGGGAGAAACTGGGAGTTGGGACGGGGGAACGTTGCGGGTTTGGGGAGAGGGTTGGGCTAAATCGCGGAGCCGGGAGCGAGGAGTGGGTGCGCGGGGGGGGGGGGGGGGGGGCGGCGGTAAGGGGGTGGGAGCAAGGCAAAGGCCGGGGCTGACCCCGTGGGGGCGCGGTGCCGCCCCCCACCCCCCACCCCCCGCCCCCCGCCCCGGGCCCGGGTCGACAGCAGGCGGCCCCGCGCAGGCCCCCGCCGACAGGTGCAGGTCCCGGCCCCACCCTCCCGGGAGCCCGTCCCCGCCCCGCCCCGCCCCCGCCCCGCGCCCCCGGGCCTCCCCCCCCCCCCTGCCCCGTTTGTCCGGGCGTGGACCCGGCTCCAGTCCCCGAGGCCCCGAGCGCATCCCGCCCCCGCCCCCGCCCCCGCCCCGGAGGGAAGGTGCACGTGAACAAAGCGGATCGGGGGAGGCAGGAGCGACAGAAAAAGGCCACAAGAGAGAGGGAACGAGGTGGGAGCGGAGCACCCGGGCCGGACGGGGGCGGGGGTGCCCAGGGGGAGGCCGGGGTGCGGGGCGGCTGCCCCGGAGCGGAGGGGGGAGGCGGGGGGGGCGAGGCGGGGGCGAGGCGGGGGCGAGGCGGGGGCGAGGCGGCGGCGGGCGCGGGGCCGCGTGTGGGAGCGGGGCTGCGGGAGAGCTGGTGGAGGGGGCCGCGGGGGCGCGGGGGGCGCGGGAGCCAGGCCGGGGGGAGGGGGGAGGGGAGAGCACGGGAGGGGAGGGGGAGGGGAGGGCACGGGAGGGGACGGGAGGGGACGGGAGGGGACGGGAGGGGAGGGGGCCGCCCCCGCCCGCGCCCGCGCCCGCGCCGCCGCGGTACCCACCCACGGTCCGGGAGCCGATGCAGCCCATGGCTCGGGCGCCTCCGGGGCCGGGCGCTCACCGCCGCGGGGCGGGCGCCGGGGGCCGCACCGGGAGCCGCGCCGCCGCCCCAGCCGCTCTGCAGCGCCGCGGCTGTCTCCGCGCGGCTCCGCTCCCCCCGCCCCTCTCCATCCCTCCCCGCCGCCGCCGCCGCCGCCGCCGCCGCCGCCGCCGCCGCCGCCGCCTGGCTCCCCCGCCCCGGCTCGGCTCGGCTCGCTCGGCTCGCTCGGCGGGCGGCCGCGGGGAGGGGGCGGCCCGGGGATTGGCTGCGCGCGGCGCCCCCGCCCCGCCCCCGCCCCCGCCCCTGCCCCTGCCCCGAGCTCCCTGCGCGGGGGCTCCCCGCGGGCCGCGGCCGGGCTGGCGCCGGGGGAGGGGCGCGGTGCGGGAGCCCGGGGCACCCCGCGGGGGGCGGCTGCTGGAGGCCGAGGCCCGGCCGGGACGCGCGGGGGGCGGGGGGCGGGGGTGCGGCGGCCGCGGGCTCCGCAAACACGTGTTTGCCTCGGGGCCGCGTCCCGACGGTCGGATGCGGCCGCGGCCCCCCGGCTCCCCGCGCGCCGTCCGGCCCACGCGAGCGGGTCTCCGGGTCGCGGCGAGGGGACGGGAAACTCGGGGGGTGCGCCTGGGGCAGGTCGCCCCCGGGCCTGATCCCCGATCGGGGGTGCGGGCCTGCAAGGACACAGCTCGGTCCCAGCTGCAGCGAAATAAAAATCAGGACCGCCTGGAAGCACAGTCGTAAGCCCCGTTGAACTTTCTGAGCCTTGATCTCTGATAGTGACAGCAGGGATGTCCGGAAGCAGCCAGGACAGCAGAGGACTGCCCCCCCCCCCAAGGGGTCCGGCAGGTACCGAGCGAGGCCTGGGGCGTAAGAGACTGAGAGAGTGACCTCCGCGGCAGGGCTCAGGTGGGCAGCATCCCCACGGGGGCACCAAGTGAAGTACAGAAAAGTCGGGCCCGGGGCCTTGTCTAAGCAGCACCCCCAACCCAAAAGCGTGACAGAGCAGACCTAGTCTGCACCAGTGATGGCAAATGCTAAACCGGGCCCTGCTCCCAGGAGTCCCAAGTGCGGGGTGCGGGCGTGTAACGTGTAACGGGACAAAAGATCCAGTCTCCCCGAATCCGCCTTTTAACCCTTTAGGGTCTGAACGGGGAGCTAAACTTTAGGGTGGTAACCACTATGTTCTACGGAATCCCAGAGGAAAGGTGCAAGCGAGGATGCTGATAGTGTCCCTGCAGACCTAAGGGATGGAACTGTGGAGAGAGAACTGATCTTCGATCTCTGTGCGCGAAGAAATAAACCAAACCTGCATCTGTAAAACCACGAGAGAGAAGAGGGCCTAGTCAGTAGATCTGCCGGGATTTGAATCATCCGGAATGATTTGTGGCCAGATCAGATACCTTATTTTGACGGTGAGAAGAATGAGCAAATATTCCTGCACACACACACACACACACCACCACCCCGGGCCCCATATTTACTCTTGTTGGTTATCCAAAAGAAGCGTCAGGAGGTTTCTGCCCTCCTGGAATATATTGCCTAGCCGCAAAGGAAAGAACAGGGAAGAGTGGGAGAAAAAGAAGAAGGGGGCGTGGAGGAGAGGAAGGAGAAGAGGAAGGAGAAGAAACAGCCTCCAATGCTACAGCAGCGCCACTCGACCCCTGTTGTTTGTGGCGAGAAAGCACTGACGGGAATATCCAGCCGTCCAAGGCTGGGTTTATCCAAATGATTGAAATCAAGTCCACACAAGGGACCTCGGGTCCTGAAGACTCATCATGGTTCCCATTCTGCCTTAAAGGTATTTCCAGAACCAGAGAAAAACAGAATATCAGAGGCACAGCACTGGCCTGCTTTCCTTCTGCTTCTGGTACAGGATCCTCTTACTTCTCACCATTGAGAGGCATTCTTTCCCAGCCTCTTTGCCATCTTCTGAGCCAAGGTCAAAGATTCCAGTTCTGATATGAATAGGAACAACCTTTCCGGAGGACGATTTGACAGTACTGATCAAAAAAAAAAAATCTTTAAAATATGCATTGCTGTTGTTGCGACACTACTGAATTGTGACACAGCTATTCCATTTATAGAAATATTCCAGGGGAATAAAAATAGAACGTGGACAAAGACTTAATCTACAGCACCCATCGGAGCACTATTGACATAATGATGAAAGATTGTACGCAACCCACATGCTTAAACCTGGGGATTAATGAAATACATTAGGGTATATGCTTATAACAGAATATGTGTAGCCGCTGGTAATATTTTATAATTGGACAATTATAATATTTTATGATTGTTGACGAGTTATTCATGATATATTGTGACATTAAAAAGAAGCAGGCTGTAGTATAAAAACGAGAAGATATCAATGTCTGCTGGAAAATCACATACACGCATTCTCCTGCCTTTGGTCAGGCTTTCCATCCCAAGTAATTTACGGGATTTCCTGAGGAAAGCCTATGTTTTACGGATGTCCAGGCTCACTCATCAGTTAAGTTTGGCCCTCAGTGAAACCACAATATTAATGAGTCTATTTCCAAACTCGAAATAGAGGACTTTGCCCCAGTGTAGCATTGGTACTTCCTGATGGTCCCCTTTAGAACATGACAGGGTGGAAGGGTGTTTCCCCCTTCTCTGTGGTTGCTGTTTCATGCCCCCAATCTCCTATGGATAGATCTTGGACAGAAGGAACAGAACCAAGTTCAGAAACAGTACTGTCTAAGGGTGCCTGGGTTGGTTAAGTGTATGACTCTTCACCCAGGTCTTGATCTAGGGGTTGTGAGTTCAAGCCCCACGTAGGGCTCCACAGTGGGCATGGAGCCTTGAAAGAAAGAAAGAAAAAGAAAGAAAGAAAGAATGGAAGGAAGGAAGGATGGAAGGAAGGAAGGATGGATGGAAGGAAGGAAGGAACTAAAATAGGGACTCTAGGGGCACTTGGGTGGCACAGTCGGTTAAGCATCTGACTCTTCGTTTTGGCTCAGATCATGATGATATCAGGGTCATGACATCAAGCCCCGTGTCAGGCTCCATGTTCAATGGGGAGTCTGCTCCAGATTCTCTCTTTCTCTCTCTCCCCTCTCTCTCTCTCTCTCTGCCGGTCCCCCAGCTCGCTCTCTCTTTTAAATAAATAAATAAACCTTAAATAAAATAAAACAGGGACTCTTGTCCTAAGGATCCATGGGCAGAATCTAAATTCCCTAACCTTGGTTGGGAAAACTTACATCTTTATGTTCATTGGCTTGTAACTGAAATTCTCCTTGTCCTTCTGATATGCATATAGGCTGCAAAGCACAGCGGTATCAGAGCTGTTGTTCTGTGTCTTTACCGCTTATAAAAATTCTGGATGCTTCTATTATACAACAGTAGTTGTAGATTTCTTACAGTATCCTCTATGCTCATCGCTACTTTGAGATGATGGTGTTACCGAACCTCCCTGTACATGTTCCTATTTAGTGCTTTTATAAGGAAGCAGGTATGTTACTATATCACAACCGTATAATAACTGGTTTTTTATATTAGTCATTTCCTTTTTATCTTTTTAAAAATATTTTATTTTTTTATTCATAAGACACACACACAGAGACAGAGACATAGGCAGAGGGAGAAGCAGGCTCCCTTCAGGGAGCCCGACGTGGGACTTGATCCTGGGTCTCTAGGATCAGGCCCTGAGCTGAAGGCACGTGCTAAACCGCTGAGCCACCCGGGCTGCCCTCCTTTTTATCTTATTGTTTAGTATGTAGTAGTATTCTGACAAGGAAGCCGTGGATTTTCCAGATTGCCAAGGGATCCAGGGCAGAAAAATGTTTAAGAATCCCGGCCTCAGGGGCCTCTGGCTGGCCCAGTCGGCCGCTCTTGATCTCGGGGTTATAAATTCAAGCCCCACGTTAATTGTAGAGATTACTTAAAAAAAAAAAAAAGAAGAAGAAGAATCCTGGGCTTCTAAATACATTTTTGGTGGCGGTGGCAGTTTGGGATGGTCTCTAATTCTGCAGGAGCTTAATAATCCTGTTAATAGTACCAACTTAAATGACCAGGCAAGGCACTTGACATCCCATTTGGAAGCCTCAGTCCTCACGAACAAAGATATGTCCCTTTTAACTGCGGGACTAAGAGTCACACCCAAGCTCCATGCCCGCCCCCAACAAATCGAGAGGAAATTCTGAAAACATGGCAGCTTAATAAAGAATTGCTTTTGTTTTAATGGGAGACACTAGGTCACAGTTAAGGGCAGATGAAAAGATCCAACTGAAAGGGGGGAGGTTGATCGTGCCGGAGAGGAAGATTCAGGATGGGGGAGCGTGAATGCTAAGGCAGTCACCAGGGTGGCGCTCCAGGCTCAGGGAGGGGGACTGGGCTCCGACAGATGGAAGGATGGAGCAGATGCCAGTAGGTTGCACGTTTGGTGTCGAGAAGAGGAGGGATTCCAATCTGATGGTGTCTGTTTTCTCCGAGACGTGGGAAGCAAGATCATCTACTAAGTCTGGGAATGGGGGAGATGGACTAAAATAATAATAGGTAATATGCAAATATCACTTAGCAGTTGACAAAGAGTTTTCGGTGTCTTCCTACAACAATCCGGGAGGGAAGTCATCATCTTAGTGTTGCAGTTGAGAAATCTGGGCGTAGAAGCCCATGAACTTTCTTTTCCCCAAAATTACCCAGCTGGAAAGAGAGAAGGAGCTGGAGCATAAACTTAGCCCTTCAAATTAAAAATTCATCCTTGATGCTGTAGGAAAACGCTTTTTGTGTTTGCTCATCTGTTTTTTAAATACTTAGAGCTACTTGGTTCGTGGTTTTATTTTTTTTTAAATGAGGGGTTTTATTTGATACACATTTTTTCACTTTTTTATTTTTTTAGATTTTATTTATTTATTAGAGAGAGAGCACACAAGCAAGGAGGAGGGGCACAGGGAGAAGCAGCCTTCCCGCTGAGCAGGGAACTGGATGCGGGACTCGATCCCAGGACCTTGGGATCATGACCTGAGCCAAAAGCAGACACTTAACTGAGCCACCCAAATGCCCCACATTCTTCACTCTTGTTTTTCTTTTATGAAGGTGGGGCCATAAGCTAAAGAGAGGGAAAAATCTG